GGATGTGGGTGGGTGTGGGGCGTGGGGTGTGGGTGTGGGTGCGGGTGTCGGTGAGGGCGTGGGTGTGCGGGTGTGGTTGTGTGGGTGTGGGTGCGTGGGTGTGGGTGTGGGTGTGGGTGTGGGTGTGGGTGTGGGTGTGGGGTTGATGTCAACGTGACTCTGCTCTTTAGTCACATCCACACTGGCGCCCACACCCACCCACACCCACACCCACACCCACACCCTATTTGTATTAAGCTTGTAGACTCTTGTTTAATACGTACTTGGAAACAAGCGAAAAGAGAAGTGTGCGAGTTGTTTAAGCTGAAAAAGAATAAAATTATGTTTTTATTTTTTCGAGCTAGTCAATGATATAGTTGCATTCTTTCTCCTTTTCGCTATTGGCTTGTTCACTTTTAACTAATATAAGTGGTTAATAACAACCATTATTCTGCATTGAAGAAAATTTCTAAGATACGCATTTATCACGATCGCCATCTATTATAGATGAACGAGTCTCCTTCTTCGTCCTTTTCTTTCACTTAACTCTCTCTTTTCTCTCTGGTCAGATAGTAGTTGTTATGTTTATCGGTGAGAGCGGTGTTTATTATATTGATGGTGATCTAAGATCGATCTAGCGTTTTTTGTTGTTTATTTTTCTTCCATTTTTTTGTGAACAGCTTAGGCTCTTTCATATTTATTTTAAATAAAGAAATTACAAGACCTAACAGTGTTCACTTTAACAGATAACAATTTATGGTGGAAAAATATCGAAAACTGAATAGAACCAAAAATTATTAGTCGTCGTTAATTTGAGTCGTTGGTGGTCAATTATTTTCCAATGATATTTTTCGATTCTATTGTGTTAGCAGCTTCTTTTTTTCTTGTACGAATGCACCGTTTTAATCGCACACTTTTCACTCACCATCGTATTTTACATGGATCATTGCGGGAGGAGAGAGACTTTGTAATAAGTATGACTAAATCAAACCGAAATCGTACCCAAATGTCTACTATTTTTTCTTTTTAATATAAAGAATAATATAGCCGAACTGGTAGTGATCTTTTACAAGAAAAAAAAATTTATGAAAGAATCTTTTTTGCTTTCTATGATACAAATTATAATTTATTAAATTATTCATCAATGGAGTTAGCAAAAACCAGTTGGAATACAATAAACTCGATTTCTTTTAAGTCTGTTTCCAATCAGTACAGAATCTGAAGCTAAAAACTTAAATGACAAAAGTCATGAAAAAGAGTTTTCTGAAAATTTTCTTCCTTATATTGATTAAGTAAAAGATCGAAAAGGTTCTATAAACTCCGCTTGTCGTATTGATTGGCAATTTTTTCATAGTGAAAATAATAAGGAAAATTTTTAATAAATTGGCATAAAGAAAATGATAAGTATAATAGAGAAAATCCTGACAAGAAAAAATATCTTTTTTTATTAATTGGATATGATTATTATTTAATTGATATGAGTTTAAGTTTGAAAGAAATGGAAAATGAACTTTAGGTTCGTCTTGTTGAATTGAAATGTGAAAGTAATATTATTCAACAAATTCGTTGAAATCAACTAAATCATTTAATTGCATTAAATGAAAAATTTCAACGACTAAGTTATATAGAAAAAAATTTTTTGTTTCTAATAAAACAAACAAAATTAAGTTTTAGAAAAAATTAATTGATATACTGGAAACAAAAGAAAATTTAACAATATTAAACAATTTTCATAATCATCGAATTATAAATGACAATTCTCTTAATGAACGCCAAGTTCAACGTGAAATGTTATGCTTAAGAGAAGCTTGTAAAACCTACAGAGAAACTGCTAAACATTTATCACAACTGTATATATTATTAAGAGATTCTAATATTGATTTTAAAATTCGAATGAAATGGTCTATGCAAGTTCCAACAAATAATTTATCATGAAGAATCGAGTTTAGATATGATTAGTAAAGTTCAAGCAAGAGAAACTAATCTTTGTTGTTTTGAATCAGTTTATTCTTACCTTTCATCAACCATGTCAAATGATTATCTTCAATGGTTTCTTATTATATTTGCACCTATTAAACAAAATAATATCGAAGATATTCAATTATTTGAATTTATTATTAATAAATTAAATCTGATTAATCAAAATAGACCATCATGTATTAATGGTCATTCATCGTTACTATTTCTTTTCGATGAAATTAATAAAAAAAATATTCAAATTTATTTCAAAATTTAATTAATTAACTACACGAATGGAAAGAATATTTATACTGAGCAACTAAACTTGATTTTATTAATAAATCTCCGTTACAAAAAACAACAACTGCTACTATTATTCATCCATTTATTCTTTCAATTATTTTACAACTTGAAAAAGTCTCGAGAAAATTTTTTTTAATATTATTTACTATTTCATTTATTTAGATTTTTGAATTAACTTGTACATTCTTGATTTATCGTCGTGGTGGTCTTCTTCATGATAAAACCTTGTTCCCTATTAATGACGTTTATTGAATAATGGGTAGTGGAATTTTTAAACCGATGAATAATATAATCCTTGTTTGGACACGTTAACGATAATATGATTGTTTAATCATACAAATTATTGAATATATTTTCGATTCATCTGATTTTGTTGATCCAATTGATGAAATTCGAAATTTAGTCAATAAAATGAAATAATTTCTTAAACTTGTTTTATCAATTTATAAAAAATGTCTTAATCGTTTTATTAAAAGTAAGCAAGATTGTTGGCTAATTATAAGAGACATAGTTTTATTCAATGATGATTACTGGCAAAGTCGATTAAAAATAAATTGACAAATAAAATAAATTATTCCATTTTAGGGTTTTATTCTATCATCAATTGATAATAAAATTTGGCCTATTTGTGATCCCTCATATGCATCCAAAGTACCTCGTAAGTTTGAAATAAAATATTTTTTAGGAATTAATTTCAAATTATTTTATTTAAAGTATGGTTAATTCAACAATAGTACAAAGAATGATGATCACGCCATATGTAGAGAAGAAGATTATTGGAAGATGACATGATCATTAAGTGTTACCTCGATAACAATGAGAACTAAAAAGAAATCTTCAGTCTATTATTTATTTTTTTACTTTTGTTT